CATGTAGGAGCAATTTATTAGATAAGATCAGAGGACAAGAGTCCACACAGGCCATCTGCATTCTGGAAACCTAGAGGTTCCAGAAGCTGTTCAGCCCAAGAAGATAGAAACCTGGGACAAGAGGGATCAAGGATGCAGCACTCCCTCGAGCACCAAGGGTGTGAGTCTGTACTGGGAGGCTGAAGAAGGGAGAGACTGATGTCCAAAGGCAAAACGGAAGACAAACATTCTTAAAAACTGAGAACACAGGCAAGGAATGTAGCTCAGTGACACAGCACCTGCCTGGCAAGCATGAGGCTCTGAGTTCAATTCTGGGTATAAAAAAATCAAACTAAGAACACTTCCTTGTTTCTCCTTTTATCCTGCCCAGGCTACAAGTCCATTGGTAGGTGTTCCACATATCTGGGGTGGGTTATTTCCTCTGTTTACTGCCTACATTTCAATCATCCACCTACACACACAGAACCGTGCTCCACTAATCTGCTAGGCATTGCTAGCAGATTAGTTACCATTAAAGTTGTCATATCATAAGTAACATCATAGGTAGGATAATTCAACACACAATAATCAGTAACATTCCTATATACCAGCAATAAGACCAAAGAGAGAGAAAAAAATAGTTGATTGCATTCACAACAGATTCAGCACAATTTAATACATAAGAAACAACCTAACCAAAAGACACGATAGACCTCTACAATCAAAATTATAGAACACTGAAGCAAGAAACTAAGTAAGTCACTAAAAACTAGACTTCCCTTGTCCATGGGTAGGCAGAACTAATACTGTTACATATTACCAATCTACAGATTCAATGAAAGTCTTGTTAAAATATGAACAACATCTTCACAGAGCAGGATAAACAATCCTAAAACTTATCTGGAATCAGAGAAGACCCAGAATAGCCAACACAATCCTAAGCAAAATGAGCCAGGCTGAAGGTATCACAAAACCAAATTTTGAGTTATACTTCAAAGCCAAAAAAATAAAAACAACATGGTACTGGCATGTAAACAGACGTGGAGATCAAGAGAATAAACTAGAAGACACAAAAATAATACCACGCACCCTCAGTGATCTGATTTTTATTTATTTACTTATTTTTATTAATTAATTAACTAACTAACTAACTAATTAATTAATTAATTAATTGGCAGAACTGGAGATTGAACTCAGACCTTTGCGCTTGCCAGGCAAGTACTTATTCTATGAAGCAATCTCCCTGGCCCGTTTTATTAATTTTAATGAGAAAGAAATAGCAATGAGAGTTTCAAAACAGGTAGAACAGTTACAATTATTAATACACTGCATATTGTTGTCTTAGTTATTTGATTTTTGACAAAAGGGCCAAAAACATCACTGGAGAAAAGACAGCCTCTTTTAACAAATGGTGCTGGGAAAACTTGAGTCTCCACATACAAAAGACTGAAGGCAGATCCTTATCTCTCACCCTGTAACAGTACTAAATCAAAATGGATCAAAGACCTAGATAATAAAGCCAACACTTTGGCATTGCTGGAAAGCATCATAGGGGAAACACTTGAAACACTGGACAAGACTACTTATACAGGAGACTCAAATGGCACGAGAACTAATCAACAAATTAAAGAGCTTCTGTGCAGCAAAGGGAACAGTGAAGAGACAGCCTACAGAATGGGGAACAACCTTTAAGGCACTATTTGATAGAGGATTAATATCCAGAATATATAATGAACTTTAAAAAATTAACCCAATCAAAAGCTGGCAAATGAACTGGGTATGGTGGCACATGCCTGTAATCTCAGCACTGTGTGTAGGCTAGGGCAGGAGGATCACCAAGGAGTTCAAGGCCACCCTTGGCTACCTAATGAATTCAAGGCCAGCTGGTATTATATCCTGAGATCCTATGGAATACTGGCAAAAAAGGAATATTGGCAAAGAAAAGGAGCCTTACAAACTAGTTGGTAAGAATGTCAACTAGTGCTACCACATGGAAATCAACACAGAGAGTCTACAAAAACTAAAACTAGAAATATATAATTTAGCTATACCACTCCTGGACAAATTCCAAAAATAAGGGCAGGATACAATAGTGATAAATACACAGCAGATAGAGTGCACCAATTTATAGCAGCACAATTCACCACAGCTAAGTTCTGGAAGCAGCTTAGGTTCCCAATAGATGAATGGGTAAAGAAAATGTATATATACACAACAGAATACTATTCAGCTACAAGAAGAATGAAGCCATGTCATCTGTAGGAAGTAGATGAAACTAGAAACCACCATATAAGCAAAATAATTCAGACACAGAAAGTTAAATGTCACATATTTTTTCCAATATGAGAAACCAAATAAAATAAAATAAAAAATAAAAAATAAACAAAAACAAAATGAAAGGACAGGAACTACAAGGTAGACTTTTGGAGATGGGAAGGGAAGACAAGGAAAATGGAATAATGAGGTTGAAAAGCAACAAGATCTATTAATATAATTTTTTTGAGACAGAGTCTCACTTTGTAGCTCAACAGCCTGGCCTCAAACTTGCTGTGATGCTGCCTCAGAGCCCTAAGTACTGGGATTACAGGTGTGTACCTCCACAACTGGCTCAAGATATGCTACATGCATTTACCAATTTCTCAAAAATTAGTCTCTCTATTCTATATTACTAATGTGGTCTACAGAAAGAATAAAAGGAAAAAGAGAAAGAAAAACATGCAGGAAATGTCATCAACACATCCTTATTTGATTAGAACCATCTGAGAGAACATTCCTTCATTTATTAGTTATTTAGAATACGTGCCATTTATCATCCTTAAAAAAGTTTAATACAGAAGAAAATTAGAGGTTCTGTTAGTGATCAAATTTTCATATTTGCAGAGAAAGCACTATCCTATCACTTACTGTAGGAAATCAATTATTTTAAAAGGAAGAATAATTTGGGGACCAAAACAGTAAAAGAAAGGCTATTTGTGTCCACATACACAGTAAAGCAATTTGCTGGTCTACACAGCAAGACTAGAGGCATGGAAATGGGCACTTGAAAGTGTTTCCAAGCATACCTCTAGAACTACGTAGTGTAAACGTAAGGAAAACTTGCATCCATAAAGGCCAGGAACTCATTCTGAGTTTCTCACACCTATGATTCCTTTGTTTTTAGGATAACTTTTTGAAACAGCATTTTAAAGTTCTCTTTAGCTCTACTACAGCTTATAAATATTTCATTGTAAAGTACGGTCTCTTTGAATTACTTGATAGGGAAAAATAAACCCAAATACTACACTATTGATAAACACATGAATAGCAACAATTAGGCTTATCCCAAATATAGTAATAAACAAAACGAAGATTAAATCAATGCAAAGACCCTAGTTTTGGCCACTTTCTTAACTCTTTGTTTCTGCCTTTTACACAGGTATTGTCATTACTACTTTCACCTTAGGAAAAAGCCATTTCTCCTGCTTAGATTTGTTTATAAATCAGTGACTTCCCACTTCTTGTACACTTCATAATAAGGGTGTATGTAATTAGTCCCACCTAAGCAAGAAAACATGATAAACTTTAGACTGAGAGTCATACAGTCACCTACTGTAGGCCAGCTATGTGACCCTGAGCTAATTCATTTGGCCACATGTATAACAAAGATGATAATATTTAACCCATCATCATGAGATAAAGCTTGCAGGAGATAAGTGTATGTGATAGTGCTTTGAAATTTGTAGAGTTCTATACAGATATGAGAGACTCAGTTTCCTCATCTGTCACCAGGCAGGATTCAATTAAGTGACCTCTGAAGATTTTTCATTTTCAAAAATTCTTTGATTTACATTTGAAGCACATTTGAAAATGTGATCATTTTATAATCATTGAGACAGAGAGAACACTTAACTGATTCTCAGGCTACAAAACCAGCACGTAGGTAAGTAAGGACTTGTACAGCATCCAAGCCGGTGGAAAAGTAGTTATGTCTGTCATAGTCTCTACTCTGTGAATTTAAAATCTCTTTCCAAATAAGATTATGCCAGTTAAACAATTACTTTCACAATTTGTTACAATGGGAAGCTTATTTTTTTTCTCAAAGAATGGCTATCATCAAGATTTTTTTTCTTTTTTTTTGCAGAACCAGGGATTGAACTCAGGCCCTTGCACTTGCCAGGGAAGCACTTATTCCACTGAGCCATCTCCCCAGCTGAGAAGCTTATTAAGGACATGTAAATATTATTTTCATGAGATGATCCAACTACTAATAGCCAAATTAAAAGTGTTTACAAATGACACTAAGAGCCACAGGTACTCAGACAAAACTGTCCATCTATTTGTTTACTTTGTGTGGTGCTAAATTTTAGGCCAATAGGCAAGAGGTGAACTCTAATCTTTCCCAATAAAAGATTGTGCTTCTGCTTTTGTTACTAATTAGCTATGTGATTTTGAGCAATTTATTTAGTTTTTTGTTTTAAAAGGAAGGACAATGCCAACTTTGTCATCTAGCTATTGTGAATTAAATGAGTTACCTCACTTCAAGGCCTTAAAATAGTAAGTATTACAAGTGTCAGTTCCTTTCTCTAATCTATACTTTAGGACTTTCCCTTTTGTTTACTTCCTCAGAAAGTTTTTCTCAAGTGAAATATACATGTATGGGTCCAGATCCTCAACTTTGGTAACCAGCAGTTACACAACAAACTATACCAAAATTGAGAAGCACTGTAGCAGAACAAAAAGCAAATGCAGTTTGCAGTCAACAGATCTCAGTTTGAATCCCAGCTTAAGAACTTGACCTTGAGAAATTTCACTAAGTTTCTCATTTTAAAATGAAATTATCTAGCTTTTTATCATTTTTCTTTCATAATCACAATTAGGGTACAAAGACTTTGAAAAGGGCATATCTTCTTTATCTTTGTCTCCTTTAACAATGGCAAGATTTAAACTGAGAAGATCTGCTGTTGGAGTAAAGCAGGTTATTGATTAATGGGATTTAAGACCAGGAAGACACACGTTACATAATGGAAAGAAAATGTACAAACCTGGTTCAACTGGCTCCAAATTTAGGCGTTCTGTCCTTGTTTCCTTTTCTTTCTTTACAAATGGACTTCAAATATTCTTTTCCTAAAGGAAGATGACAAGTAGAAAATATATATTACTGAAGGCATTTGAATTCTCCCTAAAACTGAGTGTTCTTTAATTCACCATAAAGCAGAATTAAACTTTTATTCTATTTGATATCCAAGAGGTATTTTGGTTGATTAATACATCAGAAGACATAATAAGATTAAAGATCCAAAAAATAACCATTTCCTTTACTATAAATACATCTGTTCCTTACTTCAAAACATCACTTTGAAAGAATAGCAATACTTCTGTTAAAGATGACTTAACTGCCCAGGGACTGCATGAAGTACTATAGTTAATCACATTATGCAAAGATGCTTCTGGAGCTCAGTTTCTTAATTTTGGGGATAGAGGGCGAGTGGTGAGCTAAGCAAAACTATGAAGATCTTTAAAAAAAAAATCTGTGAAACGCCTTCTCAGAAAAATGCACACACATTTATTTTGCAAATTATTTTAGGTGACTCAAAAAACCAGAAGATGTGGGGCCGGGAAGATAGTTCAGTAGAATAAGTGCTTGCCTGACAAGCACAAGGTCCTGAGTTTGATCCCTGGTACCACCAAAAAAAAGAAAAAAGAAAATAAGAAAGAAAAGAAACCAGATGTATATATTTGGATCTCTAAAAACTATAGAGCTCCAAATAATCTCTGTTATTAAGTTTTTAAAAATGTATGAATTTAAAGGACTTTAGAGCCTAAAGCAATTTAAGAATAATGTAATACAAACTCCTGATTTTAAAAAATGAAGAACAGTGACAGAGAAAGTTAAAAAGAATTAAGGCCTCATTGCATTTAAAGACAGAGAAGTACCCAAACAGTAAGAAAACCGAATCTAGTTTCCCTATAAGGTCAACATTGAACCTTACCATTGAATTTGATTCAGTTCTCATCCAATTCTGTTTATGAACCAAATCGAACAAAGAATTAAGTTTATGAACCAAGGTACTACTGTTGTAGACAGCTAAATTAGACACAACTATTATAGGAGGTCAGACAGGCTAGGCCCTGAGGGAAACAATATGGAAGACAAGGTGACTTTGCAACTTTAAAAGAGACAGATACACTTGTGGGCCAAACCGAAAGACCAAAGATCGAACAAATGCTTAGCTCCCTAAACATAACCATCCAGGATTGATCATCACCTTGAGGAAACCAAGAAGAATCACCAATCCAACTGCTATCGGCTACTGAATAAAGTCCTGTTCTATATTGATGCCTGCTTGCTATGTGACTTGCCTCCCCATTTGGTCCTGGATTTAATCAATTTTACCTGAGCAATGGTGCTTGTAACCTTATGGTTGACCATAGTTTTGTCCTACCTCATGCCCACCTAAGTGAGTTCCCATGTTCTTTACCTTAGACCCACCTCACCACATGATTTTACTCTACAAAAATCCCTGAAAGTAGGGCCAGCCAACTAGCTCAGCAGATTAAGTGCCTGCAAGCAGGCACAGGGGCCAGAGGTTTGATCCCTGGGCCTGCCGTGCACACCCCAACCCCTGGGGCATGCTGAGACTGCAATTGAGACTGGTGTGGCGGTGCATGCCTGTAATCCCAGCTTTTGGGAGGCTGTAAACAGGCAGATCACTACAAGTTGGATTTAGTAGTGAGACCCTGAGCACCTTGTAGACCCTTTCCTAAAATTAAAAAAAAAAAAAAAAAAATCCCTGCAAGAGACAGCTTCAGAGACAACCTGCTCGGGTTGCTTCCTTTAATATAAATATATTTGTTCCTTACTTCAAAACATCACTTTGAAACAACAGCAATACTTCTGTACCCCTCTGACAGAAGCTTTCTTTCCCCCAATAAATATTCTGCTCTTAACCTCCATTTGTTCCTAAAATTCATTCTTCAATTTTAGGAAACACAAACTCATCCTAGGTACCCTTCAGATTAGGAGTTTCATTCCCCCATATCAATACCATATATAGGAATGTATAAAGAATTTAGTATAAAACAATAACTTTGGATTGGAGTAATTTTCCCAATGGAACCAAAACAAGAGAACTTAAAATTGTTTCTCCTCTCATGCAACTTTTAGTTTAAGCATATCATCAGTGATTAGGAGAATTATTATTTTATCCTTTAAATACAAAAAATTTTTTAAAATAATCATTAGAACTAATACAGAATTTCACTAAACAAAATGACAGGAATTCAGCATTGGTTGTTACATTGCACATTGTTGTCTTTAAATGAGTTGTTCAGGGAGCTGGGGAGAATAAGCACTTGCCTGGCACGCGCAGGGTCCTGAGTTCAATCCCCAGCACCGCAATAAATAAATAAATAAATAAATAATATAATAAATAAATAAGTTGTTCAGATTACTACATATTGAGGGAAAGGACAAAAGAAAGAAAAAAGGAAAGGAAAAAGAAATGTATATGCATATACACAGGATAGCTTGGATAATTGTACTGCTGATTTCTGTTGGTCTACTGAAAGGAGCAGCTAATGCTTAAATTTTTCTCCTTTTTAATTTTTTATAATTTTTGACTAATTTTGCATGCCTATATCAGGAAAATTATTTTTTGGTTATACAGATTTGTGAAAAGGGGGATCAAGTCATTTAATCTTTCCTATCCATGGGTTTTCAAATACAAACTGGAAAGAATAATACCAAACCTTACAGGATTACTTTAAGGATACAATGAAAGAACATTTAAAAGTAACATCTTACATAGTACCTAGCAAGCACTCAAGAAATTATATGAATTTAAAAGTTTTCACCAAGTCATAGTACTAAATAAAATATTTTAAAAGCCCTAAAGTAAATGAAATGTTTTCTGGCTAAACAAAACATGTGGTAAAATTAAACACTTATTTACACTGTTTCCTTTTAAGAGAAATTAGTCAAACATACCCTGGACTTTTTCTTTCTCAATTTCTTTCTCTGGTTCCTTTTTTTTCTCTCTTTCCTTTCCAGATCTGAGGTTTTGCCCAATTTCTGCACACCCACTGAGACTGGGAGGACCATTAAGTGAATCCTCCCAACCCTGGCACTTCCTGTGAACCTCAAACTCCAGTGTCTACTTTTTTGCTAGATGCTTCTGCCTGAAGGTATCGTAAGCAAAGCCACACCATGATCAACCTGGAGCTGTTCATTTTTCCTAAAATCTGTTCCTATCAATAAGCAGCACCACAGTTGCTTAACCAAAAGTCTGGTGATCATCCCACATTTTACTAATCATTTCCGAGTTGTACTTCTTTCTACTTTTGGCACTTTCCAAGTCTAGATGCCCAACCTACCCCCTATTAACCATATCCAAACCCAAGTTACTATATCTCAATATGACCAAATCAGTAGTCCAACTCATTTGTGCACCACCACTCTTTTGCTCTTTTTTGTTTTACTTTTTTTTTTTTTTTTTTCCTTCTTTGGTACCAAGAATTGAACCCAGGACCTCACACTTACAAGATAGGTGCTGTGCCACTGAGCTACATTCCCAGCAGCACTACTCTTATCCCCTCTCAAATTTATTTACTATACTACTGTTATGGTTGTATCTAAATGTCCCTCCAAAGCCTCATGCAGTCAGGGTTTTTCCAGAGGTGTCTGAATCTAGAATGTGTGATTAATTAATAGTGCAATGCTGGGATTAAGGTGTTGGAATTAAGGGTTGGTGGCTGCTGGATCAGTCCACCGACTGGCACCACCCTAATCCCAGTAGATTGAATACAATATAAAGTATAGAAAGAGGCCTGTCCCCTTTTCCTTGCTTGTTCTTGCTGTCTTCTGCTTGCCATGAACTTGTTCTCTACTGTGTTACTCCTCTGCCAAGCCACCTTGTCTTGGAAGCAGCTGATAATGGACTGAAACTTCTACAAACTGTGAGCTAAATAAATCTTTTTATGAGTATTAGTTATTTTGTCTCAGCAATGAGAGAAAAGTAACTGAGACAACTACTGCCAAAATGATTGGTTTAAAATAACAATTCTGCATATCAAGCACTACCACCTGCCAAACACTTCAGTGGCAACTAACTACTACTCACAGAACACAGTCCAAGTTCACTTACAAAATGAATGCCCACATATGACATACAAAGTCCTCAGAGGCCTAGCCCAAGCTTATCTCTTCAGCTTCAATTCTAGCACACCAGAACAACACTGAACTATATCAGTCCCAGAACTAGCCAGCTATCCTCTTTGCCAGTCTTTGTCAGTCTATCCTTATGCTTACTTCTTCTTCCAGTGACAGGTCCAGGATTGTCTAGAAACCCTGACTAGGGCATATTTCCCACCACCAAGCTCACTCATTAAAACAAGCATTCAGGAGATGCTTATTAAAAAGGATAAATATAACACTAAGTAAACTAATGACAAAACAGCATGTAATTTACATAGGTAAAGCCAGAGAGAAAATAAAAGAAACAAATATATTCAGATGAGGCTGCAGAGACATCTGTGTGACAAGGCTTGGAGGGAAGGAAAACAACAAACTCACAAAATGTAGCTATACTTACAAAGAGACTCAGACACCACAATCCAATACTCTCAAATACTTATCTCTGAAATTTTATGGTACAGTTGCAATTTAGAATCTACACTGCATTCCATCAGAAATGTTTCAGAAAAGAGGTATTTTCATCCTTTAGTCACTCCTATGCATTCTTATGGGTTTAAGAAGGTATGCCCAGTTAATCTACACTTACAGAAGAACTTTACATAATATTCTCAAATCACAATATATTTCCTTATTACATAATTAATTAAAATTGAAATAAAGTAACATATCCTTTCAGTAACATTAAGGACTAGTCAGTCTTACAAAGTAAGCTTAATATTATAAAATTAGGTTGCTTTGAATCAGCACCAAAAAAGAAAACTATCATAAGTTAAATGTGCAATTTACAAAGCAGTTCAACTGCAAATATTTTGTTTTCTGAACATAGTATGATTAAAAATATCAGTCCTTAAACTTAAATAAGTGAGCCACACTACAGAGGAATAGATCTACCATGTATGTCGCAGAGTGAAAACTAAGATCACCTATCAAA